CCCCGCCGCCGGCCCGCTCAAGCTTTCGCGCGTCTCCTACTACGGCGTGCCCAGCCTGGCCACCCTCCTGCCCACCGTGCAGCAGGTGCAGTACTCGCAGGGCGAACGGACCAGCCCCGGCGCCAGCAGCCTCCCCACCACCGACAGCCCCACCTCCTACCACAATGAGGAGGACGAGGAGGATGACGAGGCCTACGACACCATGGTGGAGGAGCAGTACGGGCAGATGTACATCAAGTCCTCGGGAGGATACTCTGGTAATGCGTGCGCCCTACCCTTTGCTTTTCTGCTCTCCTTACGGTTTTGCTTCATCCTTTTCCATCCAGCAAAGTTAATTTTGGGCTGTTCATCAGGCTTTTGTCTTCCGGGGCTTTGTTTGGTGATTTGCATGGTTTATTGCTCAGAGCGTTGTATGCCACCAGCTCGGTGCTGGTGACAACTGTTGCATCCAGCCCGGGCAATGGAAGCGCCCAGTGTGGCTCAGGCAGCCCATGGCTGTTCCCCACAGTGTCACTGCTCACGTGCCCTGTCCCCAAACTAGAGGTTCCTCCGTAGGTGACAGAGGCTCCATCATGGGCCACGGTCTCCTTAGTCCTCCCCCTTTTTCCCGGGCCTGCCAAGAGGCGGCCCGAGACTGAGGTGCGTTTTGCAGCGCAGACCCCTGTCCTCCAGCGGCTGGCCAGCGAGAGCTGGTTTTACATGTCCTGGCTCATCCCAGGGCCACCAGAAGAAGCGTCAGCCCCGCCAGCCTGGCCGAGGTAGATCAGTCGCTTTGGAAATTAGTCTTCAGCTAGGTGCAGTGCACTTTCTCTATTCAGCACCTTTCCCTTTGTCCTGTCCTTTCAAAAGAAAAGAAAAAAGTAGGTTTTTCTCCCTCCTTCCAAATATCATCACATCATTTCCACAGACGGTGTAATTTAGGAGTATCTCCAAAAAAACGGTCCGTCCCCACCGCCTGTGCATAGCACCCCTTCGCCTTGCAAGTCTCCTGCCTGGTATGCTGCCGTCAAGAAGGGAAAAGCAATCTGGGGGCCCCGTGGCGATGTCTGGTTTTTGTAGCAGAGGCGTCGTGGCCGTAACTAACGTGACGCCCG